GAGACTTTTCACCCCGGCACCGATCGATAAAAGTCAATTGAAAAATTGACTTTTGTGGAATGGAGGGGTGCCATCATGGCAATACACTGCTGGGCAACAGCCAACAGGAAATATGGGCAGTGTATGGCCAGCTTTAGGCCTCATTCACATGGGGCATGTTGCCCCATACAGCGTGAAGGGACGGTTTTTCATGCACCCGGAGCTGCGGGAAGAAGTACACGGGCAGCTCATGTAAGTCTATGAGACACATGAGCTGTGCGCCCTCACACGCTGCTTTGCGCACCTCTGAGTTTTGACAGCCGGACAGTTGCGGCTGTTAAAACGCGGAGCTACAGGAAGCAGCGTGTGAGGGTGCACAGCGCTTGCATCCCAATGCAGGGATGGACAAGCTCCGGCCCTCCAGCTGTTGAGAAACTACAAATCCCATGAGGGATTGCAAGATTCTCACAGCTAAAGGCATGACTCCCAGAGACAGATGCATCATCGGATTTGTAGTTTGATCACAGCTGGAGGGCCAGAGTTTGCCCACCCCTACCAAAGAGTTACATGAGCTGCCTGCACATTTCTTCCTGCAGCTCCAGGCGTATCAAAAACCTGCTCTTCACGCCATATGGGGCAACATGCCACGTGTAAATGCTACTGCATTTGTCTACAGTGGGAGCAATTCCATATGCTTAGACAGGCAGTCTCCTTGGCAATCCTGCCACTGGCAAGATCACCAGCATTGGGGTCGCCCATTTAAGGCTTTAGTCACACCTTGGCGACAGTGTTTCAGTGCGGATTACGCCGGTTTTTGCACGCGTTTCACATGCATTTCCGTGTGTATATTAAGCTGCACGTTTTGTGAGCATATTGTGACATATTGATGTAAATGGGAAATAAAGTAAAAACAGTGAAGCGCCACGGACTGTCAGTTCTTAGTAGGACTTGCTTTTAGGCATACTGCAGGATGCTAGTAAATGGGAAATACGCGCATAAAAACCGTGCATATTAATTCTGTCTCACGCATTTAAGCATATCCTATTGAGTCTATAGGGATAAATTGCACTGATCTGTAAAACAAACAAAAAAAATTAATGTACTTTTTTTCCAGCGACAGACTTTTTTTTTTTTGCACGTGACGCTATGGTCAGGTGTAAATGGGGGCTATATGAATAAATAAACGGGATTTCCTTGAGCGTTTCAGTGCAGACAAATACGCACAAAAAAACGGGGCCGTAGGCTACATTCACGCTAGCCTCCTGCGTTTGGTTTAGGAGAAATTAGCTTGAAAGTATAAACAAACTGTTTCTCCGATCACGTTCTTCTGCGTTTAGACGCGTTCCGAGTATCTAATCTGCCCCTGCACCCAGAGAATTCTAGTTTCCCTAAATGCACAGTGTGAAACATGTATGTCACTGCCTGCGTGAATGAGCCCTGAACACCATGCCGATGGACGCATGCATACTTTTCCCTACTTTCCTTTTGCATTGGGTGTATATCAGGAGAATGTGAAAGGGTGGATCCCCCATATGACAAAGTAGTAAAATATCATGAAACGAGTCACAATGCATAGCCGACTTCAGAAGTCTCCCTGTGATGTGGAGACTCATCAGGCCTTACTATACACACACACACACACACACACACACACACACACACACACACACACACCTTTAAATGCAGCAATTATCCCTCAGATATGAAGACCTCCCACCCCCCAGGCACTACGGCCTGGTCAGGTAACAATTCCACAAGTCAGAGGAATACTAATTGTCTATTGTGTGCATTTAGCTGTTTACATTCAGTGGCAAATAAACTTGTAATTGTAAAGTGACCCTGTCACCTGCACACAGTGGACGCAGCCAGAATAACCGTATGTACTCAGAGCTGCTGGCTTTGTTGCCGCTATAAAAATATATGACCGGGAAGTGACTCCTATAGCCATAAGGCTATTGGACAGGTATGCGTTCATTTTTTTTTGAAACTTTATAAATCTCCTCCACACACATATCAGGTATGCATAAACAGGACTGCACATGGACTTCTAAAAATAGTTTAGCAGCATGCAAAAGATCATACGTCGCCGGAAGTCGTTTCGATAACATCTCAATAAAACAAGGCGAGTTTTGCAGCAAGAGCAGTTGCAAAACAATGTAATAGAATGCCATACCAAAGAGCAATGATGATGTCAAATGCAGTAACCGATAGAAACCATGCATTCCTATTCGTAGTGAACAATCTGATTGGCTGCTATGGATTACGTCACTTTGCCTTGAAGGGTTGTAGAAGGACATTTAGCCAAAGTTACTAATATGGCACTTGATGGCTATTCGGATTACTACACGGCTGAACAAATTCCAGGAGGCTTGTCGCCAATGCTCCTTAAAATGACAGCTGGCATCTCATTTTTGAGGTTTTCGCTAGTATCGGTCAATGAAGCTGGCGCAAAACAACAATCCTACAGGCTTCTGGAATCCATATTAATTTGTCCACCCAGGATTACTACCAAGAAAACGCACCGTAGCCCGCAATCAGTGTTTCATCGCCCGTTCATTCAGTGATTTTCCAAAAATGTAACGCATAACATGCAGAATACCATTATTTTCAATGGATTCCGTTGTCACTCGAAAAATAACATGAGCTTTTATCAGGCAGGAGCACGCATTTTTGGCCACATAGACTTCAACAGGAGCGCTTAACCAAACAGGCACAACACACGTTTTTTTTTTTTATATGATTTAGTGCCTAACAACCATCTCCTCCAATTACTAACTATCATTTCATTGGCCAAAACAAAAATCCAAAAAGTGCACAAAAAAAGTTCAAAATTGCTTGAAAATGCTCATGCTCAAGTGTAAATGGGCGCCAAAGTGACACAGACACCACTGCAACAAAAAAAGTTTAAACTTTTCTTTTTACAGCAATAGTTTTTGTTGCAACCATGGCAAAGCATACATAGTTTTGTCATGTAATGACTTTTGTCATTTGTGGATAATAAACACATGACTTTGCATACTGTATCCTGTTTGGAGTTGGCGTTTTCCCATCCCGGAGCACGCTATTGGGATCATTTAAGGTGCAGAGGGAAGTGCAGTTACCCACAGCAACCACACATTTTAAAATACTGAAAGACATATCGGACACTGATGTTACTGCTGTCTGTAGCTCCGCATACAAGAAACAATGCAGAAATTAAAAAAGGAACATGAACAATGTTTAGAATAGAACGCAGCGAAAGCACAAGAGCTGACAAACGGCGCTTGAGACAGCTGAGCAGAGAAATCCCCCCTGAGCGCCAGCCATGTCTGACACAGCCTGTATACATTGGGGAATAGGTCTAGCAGCCCAGATGAGGTTTTTGGCAGTTTTACAAGCAGCAGAAGAGCTGAGGACACTGTAAATCCTCCTGACTGTAAGAGGCAGCAGGGATCTGAACAAAGGATTAAGTTGAAGGACACGCACAACCCCTTGTTGTAGACAATATTCCACTAACAGCTTCATGGCACCTATTTCCCCAATGTGCAGCTCCCCTTCGCTTCACACAGCACATTCACTTTTCTGTTTGTTGACAACCAACAACAATGCAAAACAATGAGAGCCCTGCTGCTCCATTCAAATCTCTGCCTTGTGCTGGAGGTGACATTCAACCGCAACCAGTAGAGCAGCCTCGGGAGCTCCCAGGAGGGAGGGAGAGAGAGAGAGAGAGAGGCAGCACAAAAAGGGTCAATATACATAATATTTACATTCAACAGCAACACCGAGGAAACCCTCCAGCAGATTAGTTTCAGGATGCTGATTAACATAAATCTAAACTCATCAAAAAGGTGACATATCCCAATTTACCAGTCCTTACATTAGGTGGCTGCATTAGTTTTCCTTTTTTCAGGCTAGTACAGAAAGATACCTTTTAATGGTGCCAAAAATTCAGTGTTCCTTTAACTTCCCGGGCACCGCAATCAAATTTTAAAACAAGCCTAGACAAGTCTAAGGTGACAACAATGCATTTCAATACAGTTTAGTGAGTGAGCGTTGTCACCCTGGGACAGGAACTATGTTACTGATAGGACCACCAAATGAAAAGATAAAAAAAGTTGAAAATAAATAAAGAATAATCAAATGCAGCCACCACATCAAAGGACTGATAAGCTACAACATATTACAGTTTTGTTTTTTGGTTTAGATATAATTTAAGTTGCCTGGGCAGGAGAAATGCTGATCCTGGATCCCGGAAGAAAGGTACAAAGTAGGTCAAGCACAGGCCAAGCAGTCACAGAGCAACAGGGAATACGCCAACCTTTCTCAGCCTTTTACCCCAGATGAACCATTAAAATACATTTCAAGTCTTGAGGGATCCCTGCTAAAAACAATTAGTTGTTGGTTAGTGGCAAAAATGTCCACTTACACTGGTGGCCAGTAGGAAGAATTCCCCTTTACGCTGGTGGCCAGTAGGAAGAATTCCCCTTTACGCTGGTGGCCGGTAGGAAGAATTTCCCCTTACGCTGGTGGCCAGTTGGAAGAGTTCCCCCTTACGCTGGTGACCAGTAGGAAGAATTCCCCCTTACGCTGGTGGCCAGTACTAAGCATGCCCCCTTATGCTTGTGGCCAGTACTAAGAATGCCCTTTACGTTGGTGGCCAGTAGGAAGAATGCCCCTTACGCTGGTGGCCAGTTGGAAGAATGCCCCTTACGCTGGTGGCCAGTAGAAGAAATGTCCCTTACAATGGTTGCCAGCAGGAGGAAAGCCCCTTACATTGGTAGCCAGTAGGAAGAATGCCCCCTGTGGTCAGAATACCACACTTACAGACAGCTAAATAGATTACCGGTCATGCCGCTAACTCTGCCAAGTGGCGTTGGCACCACCAGCTCAAGGAACCCCTAGCAACCTCTGGAAGAACCCTAGAATTTCACGGAACCCTGTCTGAGAATGGTTGCCACACACTCACTGGAAAAACCTATGGCGCTAGAATAACAATCAGGAAGCCAAGGAGGACCTGTCACCCCTCAATGCCACCTTCTTACCTGAGGAACTCTTGCAGGCAGGTGTCACAGAAGCGATGCCCACAGGTGGACACTTGAACGGGCTCCCTCATCGCCTTGCCACACAGTGGGCACTGAAACTTGCGCCTGAGCTTTTCCAGGAACTTGTAATCATAGCCTGGCATCTTGTTATGGAGCCAGGTAACAGCCAGGCAGCGATCACAGGGGAGGAGGGAGGCGGCTGGCTCCGGGATCTCACCAACACGGCACGTCCAAGGTCGCCGGTGTCACTGGCCGGTGCCCCGCAACCAAGGAGCATCTATTGGGAGGAAGCCACTTCCCGGAGCAGATGGCAGAGCATGCAAGGTAGCCGGGCAGGGCGATGTGTGTGCAGACACGGCTACCCGATGAGCTGTCTGTCCAGCCACTTGATCTGTCTGCTCCTGCTCAGCTGCTCAAGGTACATGCAGACTGTGTGCCCCTCCCATGTATAGCCGGGGAGGAGACCTGCACAGCGCCGCCCTCCTACATGTGGAGCTGCAACTTATACTGGAGAGGAGACACAATAGAAGCCACAATGTCACCCGGCACACTGGCACTCGATCACCTCTGCCCGACCTGTGAGTGCAAGCTCTGCTGCCCATCTAATACTGCTTAAAAGAGACAGCATAACCCTTTGCAGCCCGGGCCACAGCTGATCCTTACAGAGCAGGATTCAGTCTTCTCTGATGGAAATAAATCCTTCCTAATATCCCCTTTGCCCGATCTGTGAGTGCAAGCTCTGCTGCCCATTTGACACTGCTTGATGGAGATAGCGTAACCCTTTGTATGCCCACAGCTGATCCTTACAAAGCAGGCTTCAGTCTTCTCTAATGGAAATAAATCCTTCCTAATATCTCTGCCCGACCTGTGAGTGCAAGCTCTGCTGCCCATCTGACACTGCTTACACAGCAGGCTTCTCTAATGGAAATACATCATTCGAAAATACCAGAATGTATTAACCAAAATTGTTGCAAATCTAATATTCCTGGATTACTCAATCCAGAGTAATGGACCGATTTACATTTGTGCATTGCAGGAACATGCATGTTACTGCAACGCACGGCAACATGTTACATGCACTGACACATTGCACTGCCATTCCTTTTCAATAGCACCCAAGGGCCCATTCACTTTGCGTTAATCACATGATACTGTATTACTAAAGCATGCTATCACAAAGCACCAAATGCCCTAAATATAAGACATGTCGCAAAATGTTTGCCGCAACAGCCCTCAACACTCTATGGTGTGTTGTCTTAGGGCACATTTACACCATAGCATTGCGTTAATCATCCAGCACTGGGCAATTTTATCTCACAGTGCACCCAGTATGCATTACCATGCGCTAGGTGTATTGCATTGCAATTTATTTGAATGGCACCTCCCAGCCTCGTGTGTCGCAACTCTCGGTAATGCAATGCCTTACATTCCAATGAAGAGAGCGAGTGCAGCGCAACACAGAGTGGCAGGGAGGTGCGTTGGAGTGCCATTCAAATGAATGACAATGTGCATAATGCACGCTGGGTGTGCTGTACCATAGCGTGCATTAATCGCATGGTATCATGCAATTAATACAACGCTTTGGTGTTAATGGGCCATAAGGCAACACACGATGGGCCATAAGGCAACATGGCCCAACAATGCGCCATAAGGCAACTGAAAGCGTTAATGTGCGCTCAGCCTAAGAGGCATGTTTAAAAGGAAGTTCAAAGTCTCTGGTCACATCTCTGAGATGCAGGAACATGTGCATTCCCGCACACAATCCCACATTCCACATTCCACAGTCCACATCACATGTTACACTGTTAGGTGCATTGCATTGACATTATTCCTTAGTAGCACCCCAACGCTCCTAGCCATCACATGTGCATTGCGTTGCACCACAACACATCTATCCTATAGACAATCCTCTATCCCGAACCACAGGTAATCGGTCTATTGACGATAACATGCAGATGGGTGCTGACAGATGCGACTGCTGTCAACCGGTCATAAACTTGAACGGGCACAGCGTCCGCATCTGAATGGGCACATACCTATTTATTTTGAATAGCACAGGAAGAATAAGGCAGCGTTCACATGGGGCATTTAAGTACATTCTGGGCTTCTTACCGCAATAATCCGTAAATTCCCAGGATGTATATAAATTCCACATGTGAATGCACAAAATGAACAAAATGTGTGTGTAATTATTCTTTCCAGTGATCATATATACAAGAATAGCAAATGGACAACAATGAGCATCTTGAAGCAATGATGTTGTGGTTATAGTTGAGCAATCACAGCAATATTTTGTTTTTCTCATAATCACCCCGTTATAGCTGAATTTATGATGTTATACTTCAGCAATATCGAAATGTTCCTCTCTAAACAATCAATATACATATTATGAATGATACAATTTCCCATACAGCTCATCATTGTACTGATTATAAGCTCCCCTACACTATTTACAACGCACATTCTAGCTGTCACAATGAAGAAACGATTGCTTAGACTGATTAAAAATGTTTATTGAAAATTCTGTATTTATAGAGCACTGACAACAGCTCTTTACATACTATACATTCACATCAGTCTCTGCCTCAAAGAGCTTACAATCTAAGGTCCCTATTGCACATGCATACATAGCCAATTTAGAGAGAAGCTAAATTGGCTTCATGTCTTTGGAGTGTGGGAGGAAACCCACACAAACACAGAACATGCAAACTCCATGCAGATATTGTTCTGACTGGGATTCAAATCAGGGACCCCCAGTGCTGCAAGGCAGAAGTGCTAACCACTAAGCCACTGCGGTACACTGGCAGTGTACACACATTACAGCCAGAGCCAGATTAACATGGGGGCTACTGGAACACCAGTTCCAGGCCCACCACTGACATTTGTACAGTAAATGTTTTGATGGGTAAATGCATTTATCAAACTGTGGTCAAATAATAATATAGATTAAGGACCAGAGTTATCGGTCCAGGGGACCCAAAAGCGATATTTTTGTTATTGGTGGAGGTTAGGTCAACCCCTGACTTCTTACATGTCTTGGCCAGTTTAACAGCGAGATCTCCCTGCTATAACTCCAATTCTGATCCTGTCCACCTTGCATGTTTCCACCCAGCTTTGCATATTCTAGGACCTCCTATTGCAGGGGTAGCCATAGTGAAATTACAAACCCCATCATGCCTCTGCCTCTGGGAGTCATGCCTGTCGCTGTCAGAGTCTTGAAATGCCTTATAGGACTTGTAGTTCTACAACAGCTGGAGAGCTGAAGGTTGGCCACCTGTGTCCTACTGGATTCTCCATAATATAGAATTTAAAAAAATCCAACAAATCCTTAAAATGGGCACAGTAGCGAGATAGGTAGGTAGGTAGGTATGTAGGTAGAAGGCAAGAACAGATATCTCACCAGATTTGAGAAATTGTCAGGCAGTTTAATATTTTAGCATCCATCAGTTTCGGGGTGGGCTGACCCTTTAATAGTTTTGTCTGGAGTTTTCCTTTAACCTCAGCTCTGTGTTTCCATCAGTGAAATAAAATAACAGCCTGAATGTTGTATTTCCTCTAGAGGAAAGAATGTTTTCTCGTAGTCGCACATATATCGCATACGTATGAAATGTGATAGGCTGCCTGAGGACGTATTTTGTTTCTGTTCTACTCGCTTCCAGAATATAATATGAGAACATTTGGTAACACTTATGGCTTGTTTGTACATGAACCTATTTATTTATTTTATAAATACATTGTGACTATAGCATGTAGCAGTGCATGCATACATGGCTGACACACAAGGCAGCCTGCCACCCATGAAATGCAGCTGCTATACGTTATGCTGACCATGTGGCATTTCCTCAAACTCACATCTAAATATACTGCATCCAAAACGCGTTCACAAAGCCTGAAACTATAAGTTTGAGAAGAGTTTCTTGTTCTTTATTCAGTCAGGGCCCCCCTTAAAAGTATGCAAAATCTCAAGGAACCCCAGTCTAAAATGTAAAAAACAAGAATGTAAAAAACGTGTGGCCCCTCCAAAATCCTTTATCTAGGTAGGGATCTGGTATGGATTTTAAGGGGATACCATGCAAAAACACAAAAGATGGGGTCGTCCCCCCCCCCTTCACATCAGACTCCCATCTTCAAATCAGGAGCCCCCCCCTTCACATCAGAGTCCACCCTTTCAGATCAGAATTTCCCTTTCTACAAAAGAGTGCCCCATTATATTGGACCTCACTTCACATTAGGGCCCCCTCCTTTAGGGCCCCCTCCTTTCACATCAGAGCCACTCCTTCACATCACAGGCCCCCGTTTACATTAGAATCCTCCCTTCACATCAGAATACCCCCTTCGCATCAGTATCCCCCTTTTCCACCAGGAGCCTCCTTCACGTCAGAAGCCTCCCTTCACATCAAGAGCCATCTTTACATCAGAATATTCCCTTCACATCAGAAGCCCCCCTTCACATCAGGATCCCCCTTTTCCACCAGGAGCCTCCTTCACATCAGAAGCCTCCCTTCACATCAGGAGCCATCTTTACATCAGAATCCTCCCTTCACATCAGAAGCCCCCCTTCACATCAGGATCCCCCTTTTCCACCTGGAGCCTCCTTCACATCAGAATCCTCCCTTCACATCAGAAGCCCCCCTTCACATCAGAAGCCACATTTCATATCAGGAGCCCTCTTTAGATCAGAATCCTACCTTCACAGCAGAAGCCCCCCTTCACATCATGATTCCCCCTATTACACTAGGAGCCCCCATTTATATCAGAAGCCCCTCTTCATATCAGGAGCCCACTTTACATCAGAAGCTCCCCTTCACATCAGAGCCCCACCTTTACATCAGAAGCCCCCTCCTTTCACATCAAAGTTCCCATTTACATCAAGAGTCCCTTTCACATCATAAGCCTACTTGCACCATAAAAAGGCATGACACTGTGCAAAACATTTTCGAGGTACCCCTGAGGAAGGCAGAAGGCACCCTAGATTGCCACGGCACCCTGGTTGAGAAAGGTTTACTTAGAGAGCCTTTAGTACAGGGATAGCCAAACTCCGGCCCTCCAGCTGTGGTGAACCTACAAATCCCATGATGCATCTCTCTCCGGGAGTCATGTCTGTGGCTGTGAGAATCTTGCAATGCCTCATGGGATTTGTAGTTCCACCACAGCTGGAGGGCCGGAGTTTGGCTACCCTTGCTTTAGTAAAACCAATGGCTGTAACAATGCTGTGCTATCTCTTTTCTTTAGTAGGTTTACTAGATGCCCATGTAACAGATAATTAGGGAAATCCTGCTTTATATTAAACATGTATTATATCCAGCCAAAACTTT